TTGAGGGTCCAGATGGTGTTTAAAGAATAGAGAATAATGACAAAAAAAAAAAAAAAATAAAAAATAATGGGGGGCAAAAGTATAAAGAATAATTTGAAAATAAAAGGATTAGATAATTAAATACTGATCACAGGAATGAAAGATGTTCAGAATAAGGAAATCACCTTATTTTTTTACACAATAAGCAATATTGTTAAATTTAAAGAAAAATGCCTTAAAAATCTGAATAAAGAAATTAAGTACCCCTCCATCCAGTCCCTTATTATTGCATTGCAAATAATTAAAGATTATCGTTGGTCATCTCAACGAGATTGATTTTCTCGAATGAGCCAGTTTTTGGTCCTTTTTGGACCATTTTTAAGAAAGATGATACATTAGTATATATTCATTCAGATAAAATTTTCTTATACTCTGCCAAAATGTAGATTTTACCATCCTTTTTTTTCAAGAAAAATACAGAGCATGGGTCACCCTGCTATTTTTCAAGCTACAAGTCATGCAAAATTGATTAAATTTTGCATATATTATGCATGAAAATTTTTTTTTTGTGAATACAAAGAAATCAATGAGATAGAAATTTGAAATAAAACAGAATTTTTACTATAAGGGTTAACTCCCCCTAAATGGCTAAGTTAGAAAATTAATTTGAACAGAAACAAGTTTTCAATATTTGTTAAAACAGTTAAAATACTGCAATTAATCAATTATTTGTCCTTATTTAAATTAACAGTCTTTCACATAAATTGCTGATCTGTCTCAAAATTTGCAAATTTAGGCAAGGAACTAGACTGATTATGTGCTACTATTTTACAATCCAAGATGGAGGTATACAATTAATCTACCTTAAATAATAGATGCTAGCTATTTATACAGTGTGGGATAGTCCAGATTGTATGGAAGGAAATGTATCGGTACTGCATAAAATAATTCCGTCAGTTTTATTTGTGTGTTGTCGTCCAGTATTATGTGATATTTCTCTTGTAAAAACATATTGATATGCAATATTTATTTGAAAATAAAGTTGAGTAAAAAATGTCATTAATCTGTCTTTCTTATTCATGTTATTGTTATGATATATTTTTAGTAGATGTGCATTTAGAACTGATGTTATTAACAGGCTTTATATGACATTCATTGAACAATCAGTTATATCCAGTTCAAAGGTATTGCTTACATCTTCATTTGAACCAGGAAAATATGACCTAACCAGTCTTTGCTCTTTATTGCTGCAGGCATAAAAGCATCAAATTCCAATGTTAAGGATGTTCGCTACTCTGTTTCAAAATAACAAGCTTTTTAAAAGACTGTTCTAAAATGATACTATATAAATAAACGAATTAAAAAAGAAGAAAAAAATAAGGTGTCCATGTGCATGTTTTCGAGATATAAGCCATCGAAAAGTTTGGCGGGAAATAATTCTCTCTAGATTTTTCATACTTTTAACATTGGCTGCTTTTCTGTTTCAAAAACTATGAAAAATAACAAGGATTTTATAAGATTTTCTAGTATAAGAATACAACAAAAAACAAAAACTGAACATAAACCAATGAACCATGAATACAGGGTCAAGTTTAGGTGGAAACTACCAGACTGACATGTACAGCTTACAATCATTTAATACACCAAATATAGTTGAACTATTGCCAATAGTATAAGAATACAACCAAAAACTATAACTTAACATTGACCATAATGAACCATGAATACAAGGTCAAGTTCAGTTGAAAAAGAGAGGCGAAAGGCTGACATGTGCAATCATTCAATACACCAAATAGTTGAACTATTGCCAAGAGTTTAAGAATACAACAAAAAAAAAACAACTGAACATTAACCAATGAACCATGAATACAGGGTCAAGTTCAGGTGAACCTGCCAGACTGACATGTACACCTTACAATCATTCAATACACCAAATATAGTAGAACTATTGCCAATAGTATAAGAATACAACCAAAAACAATAACTTAACATTGACCATAATGAACCATGAATACAGGGTCAAGTTCAGTTGAAAAAGAGGGGCGAAAGGCTTCACTTATCCATGAAATGAACTTGAAGTTAACCGAATCCTGTCTTACAGACATGTAGACACAGTGGCGGATCCAGAACTTTTTATAAGGGGGTCCTGTCCAGTCATGCTTCAGTGAATCCCTATATAATCAACCAAATTTTTCCAACAAAAGGAGGGGTGGGGCCTGGATTCGCCTATGAGACATGTAGTCAGGAACCTGATGTTCAGTGGTTGTCATTTGTTGGTGTGGTTCATTGGTGTTTCTCGTTTCTCTTTTTTTTTTATATAGATTAGACTGTTGGTTTTCCTGTTTGAATGGTTTAACACTATTTGCAAGGAACCCACATTCCAAATAGTTATCATATAACTTATAATAAGTTAGAAATTCACATGACAAAAAACATAAGCATATTTTAGTAGTGCATGATATCTAAACATTTAGCCTTAATCCGGTTATTAAAGTCCTGTAACTTTTGAACAACAAACCAAAAAGTTTTCAAAATCAAAATGGGGGTTTCTTCCAATGATTCAGATACTAGAACCCAATACAAGTCTCATGTTATATTAAAGCAAGACAGAAGTTATCTACCTTTTTTTTAATTTTAAAATCAGTTGGTTGAGTGGACAGATGGACAACGGTATACCATATGTCCTCTGGTGATTGTCGATGTATAAAAATGCGTAAGGGTTCCTCGGAACCCAGTGTCTCGCCTACTTTTGCTGTTAGTCGCAGGCTCAACAAAAATAGTGGAAAAAATATTAAAAATTTTCCTCTAGAGACTATCTTTTGATTGTAAGAAGTTCTGTTCAAGTTTAGTAAAAATCCAAGAAGGTTTATGAATCTAATAAATGTTTTAAAAACTTTAACTGCAGACTGTACATAATGTTAAATGGAATAAAACTAAGTCCATTTATAAGTAATATATGGAAAAACAGGGAATAAATTTTTACAAAATTTCCTTCTAGATACTAGCTTTTGATCATAAACAAGCATCTGTCCAAGTGTGTTACACATCCAGGATAGTTTAAGAAAGTTATTAAAATTTGAAAAACTTTAACCACAGAGTGAATGTTATGTTAACTGGCAGAAAATTAAGGTCATATATGAGTAAAATACGGATAAACAGGATTTTTTTTTTACAAAATTTTCTTCTGGATACTATCTTATGATCATAAACAAGCTTCTGTCCAAGTTTGGTACAAATCTAGGATACTTTAAGAAAGTAATTAAAATTTGAAAGAATTTAACCACAGTGTGAATGTAATGTTAACTGGCAGAAAAACTAAGTCCATTTATGAGTAAAATACGGATAAACAGGACTTTTTTTTTACAAAATTCTCTTCTGGATACTATCTTATGATCATAAACAAGCTTCTGTCCAAGTTTGGTTGAAATGCAGATAGTTTAAGAAAGTTATTAAAATTTCAAAAACTTTTACCACAGAGTGAATATTTGTGGACGCAGCCGCCGACGCCACCGCCGACAGAATGTAGGATCGCTATGTCTTGCTTTTGTGACAATTATATATATTATATTAGTACTTATTGGAACCCACATTCCAAATAGTTATCATATTAATTATAATAAGTTAGAAATTCACATGATAAAAATCATAAGCATATTTTAGTAGTGCATGATATTTAAACGATTAGCCTTAATTCTGGTAATTAAACAACAAGCCAAAAAGTTTTCAAAATCAAAATGGGGGTTTCTCCCAATGATTCAAATAATAAAACCCAAATACTAGTCTCATGTTATATTAAAGCAAGACAGGAGTTATCTACTTTTTTTCAATTTTAAAATCAGTTGGTTGAATGGACAGATGAACAACGGTATACCATATGTCCTGTTGATGGTGGATGTATTAAAATTACTTGGTTGAGTGGACAGATGGACAACGGTATACCATATGTCCTAGCTGTTGATTGTGGATGTATAGAAATTACTTGGATAAACATTAAAAAGTAGATTCACTTTATATTGGTACTAATTGGAATTCATAATACTTGTCAACCAAGTCATTTAATAATTAAAATAAAGGTAGATAACTCCTGCTTGACATTAATCTGGATGGAAATTGATTTGGAATATATCAGTTGATCATTATAGATACAGATAAGTTGTTATGGTCAAGACCCATAGGTGGCCTTTGGCTGTTTTCTGCTCTTTGGTCGGGTTGTTGTCTCTTTGACAAATTCCCCATTTCCATTTTCAATTTTAAGCAAATACCAATTTTAAATTCTTTGGTTTGATGCAGCTAGGGATCATATCCACATCATTAAGAACCCAAACCAATATAAATAAGAAGATGTGGTATGAGTGCCAATGAGAGAAATCTCTATCCAAGTCATGATATATAAAAAGTTAACAATTATTGGTCAAAGTATGGCTTTCAACATGGAGCAAAACAGCAAGATATAAAGGGCCCCAAAATGACTAGTGTAAATCCATTCAAACTGGAAAACCAACGGTCTAATATATATAAAAAACAAATATGAGAAACAATTGTGAACCACATCAACAAACGACACCAAATGAACATCAAGCATGAGTTCACAAAAAAAGTGGATTCATCATAACAAACTTGCATAAATGCCCTGTAAAGTGTATAACTGGCCTACATAGTTTGGGAATACATTTACAGGGTGGCATTATGTTACTGTGGATTCATTATTATTCGTTGGATACCAATTTTTGTGGATTTCGTGGTTATATGTTAACCATGAAATTAAAAGTTCAACGAATGTCAAATTTACTATAGGCTTGTATGCAGACATTGTCAAAAACCACGAAATTAAATATCCACGAACATGTAAGTTTTCCTTAATCCACGAAAATTGGTACCCACGAAAATAAATGAATCCACAGTATCCCATTTTTTCATTCTTTTGTGTTGTTTTGTTGCTGTCTCACAAACCATTTTCTTTTCTGTACAATAGAATACAACCCTGTAATTTTTCAGATAATAAAAATTGATAAAATAAATCATAACTTCAACATTTTTAATAAAGCCTATGTATATAACAAATCAATAGAAGAATTAATTCAAATAAAATAAATACAATATACAATTAACAGGCAACACTATATACATTGTGGAATGTAGTCATTTATCACCATAACAACAGTATGGACAGATCAGCCATTTTATTTTCTTTCAAAATATAAGAAAACTATTATTTTTACTTCTAACTACACGAACTAAAAATAACAGCTACTTCAAGTAACCATGAAACTAACTTGCTATAATACAATTAGCAAATAGTTAAAATAGATATGGGAAGGTAGGAATGGATTTTCAAAATAGCCCTACAATCAACATAGTTTCTTTTTTAAATTCTGGATACATCACATGAACACAGTCATAAATGTCCCAGGACCCAGGTCCAAAAATAAAACTTCCTTGCCTATCATTCCACATTCAATTTAATGGAATAACCCTAAAAATTATATACAATTAAAGAGGTAGAACTAAGTCAGTCAGGGTTCAACTTATACAACTATATTTTACTTACTGTGGATTCTTACGGTACTTACTTTTATAAGAAGCCTTACTTAAGGTTGTGCTACATATGGGTAATCGATGAATAATATTTACATATGCATGGAGAAAATTGAAAAGGAAATGAACAATGTACTGTAAATTCAGAAATTATTGCGAGGTTTTTATTAATGCGAATAATGCGACTGGGTGACTATCGCAATAATAAGGACTCGCATTTTGATGTCTGTTACATATATCTGTATGCAGATTTTCATGATATGGCAATAATTAATCTCGCATTTTTGTCCATTCTTGAAAAATCGCAATAATTAATCTCGCATTTTTGTCCATTCTTGAAAAATCGCAATATTTAATCTCGCATTTTTGTCCATTCTTGAAAAATCGCAATAATAAATGCACGCAATAATTTCTGAATTTACAGTATCGTTTTTCTACTTCTGACTGATCGTTTATGATATTTAGACACAAACTTCTGACAAAGTTCTACAATTTCCACGTTTTCTATATGTACAGTACACTCTATTGCCCCACAGCCCAAGCTTAGTCCCATAAAGACTGTCAGAAGTCAGGGCAATCTTAGTATAAAAAGTACAGTACACTCTATTGACCCACAGCCCAAGCTTAGTCCAATAAAGACTGTCAAAAGTCAGAGCAATCTTAGTATAAAAAGTACAGTACAGTACACTCTATTGACCCACAGCCCAAGCTTAGTCCCATAAAGACTGTCAGAAGTCAGGGCAATCTTAGTATAAAAAGTACAGTACACTCTATTGACCCACAGCCCAAGCTTAGTCCCATAAAGACTGGCAGAAGTCAGGGCAACCTTAGTATAAAAAGTACAGTACACTCTATTGCCCCACAGCCCAAGCTTAGTCCCATAAAGACTGTCAGAAGTCAGGGCAACCTTAGTATAAAAAGTACAGTACACTCTATTGCCCCACAGCCCAAGCTTAGTCCCATAAAGACTGTCAGAAGTCAGGGCAATCTTAGTATAAAAAGTACAGTACACTCTATTGCCCCACAGCCCAAGCTTAGTCCCATAAAGACTGTCAGAAGTCAGGGCAACCTTAGTATAAAAAGTACAGTACACTCTATTGACCCACAGCCCAAGCTTAGTCCCATAAAGACTGTCAGAAGTCAGGGCAACCTTAGTATAAAAAGTACAGTACACTCTATTGACCCACAGCCCAAGCTTAGTCCCATAAAGACTGTCAGAAGTCAGGGCAACCTTAGTATAAAAAGTACAGTACACTCTATTGCCCCACAGCCCAAGCTTAGTCCCATAAAGACTGTCAGAAGTCAGGGCAACCTTAGTATAAAAAGTACAGTACACTCTATTGACCCACAGCCCAAGCTTAGTCCCATAAAGACTGTCAGAAGTCAGGGCAACCTTAGTATAAAAAGTACAGTACACTCTATTGACCCACAGCCCAAGCTTAGTCCCATAAAGACTGTCAGAAGTCAGGGCAACCTTAGTATAAAAAGGAATGAAGTCAAGATAAATTGACCAAATATATAACTTTATTACTTAGAAATAAAAAAAAACTCTAAAATAAGTTTACTGGTACAAGTAAATTTATAAAATGTTCTTGTGTAAGTCTCATCTTTTTCCATTAAATTTATTTTTCCATTGATGTAACTATCAAATTTTTCTTTTTCATTAAAGGGGACACAACCATTAAAAATTGCAGTTGTAATTAAAAGAATTATCTCCCCTTACCAAAGTCTATCGCCCTTCATTTATGATTAAACGAATTATCTCCCCTTACCAAAGTCTATGACCCTTCATTTATGATTTGAAAAATTATCTCCCCTTACCAAAGTCTATCACCCTTCATTTATGATTTAAAACATTATCTCCCCTTACCAAAGTCTATCCCCTTCATTTATGATCTAAAAAACTATCTCCCCTTACCAAAGTCTATCACCCTTCATTTATGATTTAAAACATTATCTCCCCTTACCAAAGTCTATCCCCTTCATTTATGATCTAAAAAAATATCTCCCCTTACCAAAGTCTATCCCCTTCATTTATGATCTAAAAAACTATCTCCCCTTACCAAATTAAAGTATATGCCCTTTAACATGTTATAATATTTTTAGCCATGGTGAGTCCAAACGTATAAAGATGATATTTATTATTGCAATATAGTTCATTATTTTAGTCTCCATGACCTAATAGACATTAAATTCAGATTACTTTTAAAAGTTTGCTATAAACATGATATTTGTGTTCAGTTTATACAAAACATTTAAATTTGATCTTACCAATTTTAAAAATATTGAGTCTAGATAGATTTTCGTGAGTCCTGGACTAATGGACTCGCCTTAGTGAGAACCCTGCCTCATCATCAAAAAATTAGCTCCCCTTCAACATGTTATAATATAACATATTTAAAATGGAATGTGAAGTCATTATCACCATAAATATCATTCTCATTAATAAAAACAGTATTTCCATGGATGACAATTATTAAATATATACATTTTTACAATAAATTATAGTATTTTATAATTTGCAAGCATACATCAATGATTTTATAAATACACATCAAGTACATTGTATTTGAGATAGTCAATTTAGTTAGTCATTGTCAAATCACAGATTGATGCCAGGAAATATTAATATGCAATATTGTCATGAAAAGGATATCCATTTAATGAAATTCTGAGAAAAAAAAATCATCAAATGCTAATAAATATAATTTTATTTTACAAATTAGTTAAATAATAAAACATATTTAATTGAAAAGAAAGTTACAAATAAATAAATATATATATATAATGGAATATGGAATGTAAATGTATAGTCTAGACTCCAAAAATAGTATTTAATTTAGGCATAAAGGGATAATGCACTCATTTGTTTATGTTCATACAAAGAAAAACATTCTGTCAACTAAAAAGAAAGTCGTTAATAAAATTATACATGTACACCAATTTTACTAAAACATGTTTAACAAATGATGGAGCATCTGAAATCATCCTAACAGGACTACATATATCACAGTTTACAGCTTAAAATAAAATGTGGACACAGAGTTATGTCTTGCCTTTATGTATCTTGATAGTAAAATGCAAATGTTGGAGTTAGAAGGGCAAACCGAACAACATTTAACTATAAACATCACAGTTTGCAGCTTATATTAAAAAAACATCAATTTTAATAATTGTATACAATGTAAAGATTAATTTCAACATAATTTAGAAATTTGAAAATTAACTAGTTTGCAACTTATATAAAAAACAACAACATCAATTTATATAATTGTATACAATGTAAAGATTAATTTTCAACATAATCTAGAAATTTGAAATTTAACTATATACATCACAGTTTGCAGCTAACATCAGTTTAAATTATTGTATACAATTTAAAGATTAATTTCAACATAATCTAGAAATTTGAACAAATATTTTGTAAAATAGATAAAAAAATATAATTTGTCCCCCTTTTTTCATTTTTTACTAATTCATCTAATTTTATGCTCCATTTTTGTATTTCTTCAAATTGATCGTTTTTTTCGTTTCGGTTTAGGTATAGCATCTTCATCGTCCTCTTTAATTTGTCTCTTCTTTCTATGTGACCTAATTGTACTTAATTCTTCAGGACAAGAATCACTTTCTATATAATGTTCTTTTTCTTCCTTTTTCTCTTCTACTGTTTTTGTCTTCTTTATTGTTTTTTTCCTTTTTTCTTGACTCTTTATTTTCTTTCAATTTATTTTTCTCTTCTTTCCTTTCATGTGTTTCTTTGTGTCTTTTGATCTGGTCACTCCGCCTAAACTCCTTCCCACAAATTTCACATTCATAAATCCTCCCAGTTCCGTGTTGGAATTTAGCATGTCTCTTTAGATAATACTCTAAACTAAACTGTAAACCACATTCCTGGCATGTGTATGTTTTATCTTTGGTGTGTGTTTTCCTGTGTACATGGAGTACACAAGAATGAGCAAACGTTTTATTACAAATCTCACACTTATATGGGCGAGCCCCAGTGTGTATGACCATGTGATTTTGAAGGGAACGTTGATTAACAAACATTTTATGACAAACATCGCATTCTTCTCCTCCATCACCCGTATGTATATTTTCATGATAATTTAAATAACTTTCCGTTACAAATTTTTTCCCACAGACCTGACACTCAAAATCCTTGGCACTTTCATCATGACTTTTAGCATGTGTTTTTATATAATTTTTTCGATAATATTTTTTACATATATCACACTCAACCAGTTCCGATTTTTGTTTCTTTCTTGTCGTTGATCCATTACTTTTGTCGAGCGGAGAGAGATTGTGTTTTGCATTGATATGAACCTTAAGGTTTCTGTTCTGTGTATACACCTTATGACAGAAATGACATTGGAATGTCCCCGGGGCATGTGATCTTTCATGCACTTTTACCGATTTCTCTGTTTTATAACTTTGACCACAAATCTTACAAGAGAAAGGCCTGTCCTTATTGTGGGACTGAATGTGATTTTTTAAATGATCTTTTCTGATGAATCCTTTACCACAAATATCACAGCTGTAGTTTGTCTCACCATTGTGTTTCTGTAGATGGATATCCAGCTTATATTTCTGCATAAATGTTACGCCACAGATGTGACAGACATGTGGACGGTCACCTAAAATTAGAAAATACACCTATATATGTATGCCTGAAAGATGTGACAGACATGTGGACGTTCACCTAAAGTTAGAAAATACACATATATATGTATGTCTGTGTACACAGATGTGACAAACATGTGGACAGGCACCTTAAATTAGAAAATACACATATATATATATATGAGGGTCGTAATGGACCTTCATGACGAATAACGGTAAAAATTCTTGCCAAATGATGAACACGGTAATTTTTGGTGCATGACGATAAAATGTACACTTTCTTTTAGACGATAAAAAAATAGACTGGTCTTGACGAATCACGCTAAATTTTTTCCAAAAATAATGGTAACAATAATTATTTGAGACCTCTGACGAATCACTATAAGGATATTTTGACAAATCACGGTAATATTTTAACCAATTTGATGCTAACGGTAGCCAAAAATCGCTGTTTGACGCCTGACGGTAAAGGGCATTACTACCCTCATATATGTATGTATGCCTGTACATGTGTACACAGATGTGAGAGAAATGTGGACGTTCACCTAAAATTGAAAATACTCATATATAAATGTATGCTTGTGTACATAGATGTAACAAGTTTGTATGCACTCTTTATCTTGATCTCTTCTCCTTTAATGCTAACTTAGGGATTACTACTTTCTTTTATAGCTGTAATTCTATGATTATTAATCGTAAAACTTGGAATTTGACTAATATTTCTAAATTGTACAGGTTGCATTTATTGCTTTTAAAACCTCACGTCTGTTTTCAATACATTATTACATTTAACTAATGATTGAAAATATATGAACTGCCTCGGATATAAATCAACCTTATGCAAATGAATGTCAATACATCTGTTAATTTATTTCGGGTAAAAAAAATTCTATGCAAAGTCTATAACTGTTTAAAAATTGAGTTGATATAAGAACCCTACAAAACCGACACAAATTCATCCTTTGTTTCGTATTTGAATGTTTTAAAATCAATCAAAGTCTTACACATGTACACGTATACGTGCACTTGCATAAGGTCAATTTCTATCCGACGAGGCTCACATTATAAATTGATCAGTTTAAACATTTCCATGTGTCTAAGATGGTCCTTAATACAGGTCTATTAATACAGATCTAAAGTAACAGGTTAATACAAGTCTATAAATACAGAAGATGTGACACATTAATACAAAAGATGTGACACATGTGGATGTTCACCTAAAATTAGAAAATACACACATATATATGTATTTAAGCCTGTACATGTGTACACAGATGTGACAGACATGTGGATAACTGGTTAATACAGAATATTTACTGGTTTCAATACAGGATTTGAACTTCTGGCTTTTGGTTCAATAAAGGTGACTTTGGTTCAATAAAGGTAACTTTGGTTTAATAAAGGTGTCTTTGGTTCAATAAAGGTGACTTTGGTTCAATAAAGGTGACTTTGGTTCAATAAAGGTGTCTTTGGTTCAATAAAGGTGACTTTGGTTCAATAAAGGTGACTTTGGTTCAATAAAGGTGTCAGAAAGTGGATGTGTGTATTAAGCACAATATTAGATTTCAACAAGTTTGATGTAAGAGCAATTGTTATTTTTCATGTTGTATCATTTTATTCTTTGAATATATACAATTATGGACAGTGGACAGATTGAATATCCAGAATACGCCTCAAGTCAACACAGCTAACCGTGACCCAATACAGCTAACCTTGACCCAATACAGCTAACCGTGACCCAATACAGCTAACCTTGAACCAAAACAGCAAACCTTGACACAATACAACTAACCTTGACCCAATACAGCTAACCTTGAACCAAAACAGCAAACCTTAAAGCTAATCTCGACCCAATACAGCTAACCTTAACACAATATAACTAACCTTGACCTAGTACGACTGTACTTGAACATAATACAGGATTAATTTGAAAACATCCATTTAATAATGCTGTATTACTGATAGCCACATGCATGACATAAACCATCAGAATTAAAAAAAAGATTGGTTCCTATGCATGATTTGCTTTCTTAGAGATACAACTATTTGATTTTTTAAATGTTGGCGGAATATTTATAATGATACATGCATCTCTAAATTTTTCTACATTTGTTATATGAAGCTAATTTCTAATTCTCAAATCTCGAATACAAATACAAACCCTACCTGTATGAACTTTCTCGTGTTCTGCCAGACTACACTTTGTAACAAAGTCCTTGGGGCATTCTCCACACTTATATGGTCTATCGCCAGTGTGAATTCTGATGTGGTTCTGTACACATAATAGATAGTCGAACGTCTTCTTGCACACAGTACACTTATACAGTCTGTACACCTTCCTTGGCTTTTTCCCGACATATTTATTTAAATGTGATATTTTTTCGTATGTGTAAAGGTTAGACTCGGCATCAGTTGGTTCTGATTTAATTTCTTTTTCTTCCTCCAGTTCTTGGCCATTCTGAGCATCTCTGCCTTTATCAGTGTCTCCATCTATATCTTGTCCATTTCTGACTTTATCCCTACTAAGAATCAGTTCTGAAGTACCAGATCGTTTTATGTAGTCTACAATTTCCTTTTTTATTTCATCTGGATCAATTAAAGCATCAGGTGACATTTCGGCAGTTTTGGAATTTTGTTGACTCTGTGTAAATGGTTTATTGATGACCTCTTTTGCTGATGTCTCTGTAAAACTTTGTAAAGCGTTCTGATTTCTTGGTTGGTAAGACTTATTTGTCAAGATCTGTAAAGTGTTTACATTTGTAGTTTGATTTGATGTATTTGTCAAGCATATGGTTGCATGATTTGATCTAGAATATGCATTCGTTGTAGTCCTAGAATTTTTTAAACTATCTTTGTTTAAAGCATTTAACATTTTTTCACTAAAATTAGACTTTATATTGGTATCTAGCATTGGTGTCTGAATAACTGGCCCTGTTACCATGGTACCTGATTCTGTTTCTATAGTGAATTGTCCTTTTACTATAGACACTAGTTCTGTTGCCATGGCAACTGGTTCTCTTTTTAAAGTAAATGGCTCTGTTTTTGCAGTATCTCCTTCTGTTTCCATGGTGTCTTGTTCTGTAACTTCTGTTTTCAAGGTATCTATTACAGTTACCAATGAATTCAAATTCAAATCTAAGAGATCTGGGTCATTTTCATGTTTGACTTCCAAGTCATAGATTTTCTCTGCCTCATTCAGCAGCATTTTACAAGTTTTAAGGATTTGTTCCTAGAAATATATAAAACAAAAACATTATCAGTGTAATCTTTATATCATGGATTCTTTGCAATATAAAACAATATCAGTGTATTCTTTATATCACCGCTATTCTTTGCGATATAAAACATTATCAGTGTTTTTTTTATATAAAGGCTTCTTGAAAAAGTTCAACAAATATTGACTTTTTCCACTTCTTCCAGGCAAAACAAATACCATAAATTGAAAAAAAACTAGACATCACTATTGCCAAAAACAAAGATATACAACAGTTTGCAATAAACTTCACTGAAAACTAAATGATGAGTATACGACATGAACCTTACCGATAACAAGGGGTGAACACAGTGTTCTGAACATGCTGAAAGTGTATGACATGAACCTAACTCATAACTAGGGGATAAATACAGTGTTCTCAACATTCTGAAAGTGTATGACATGAACCTAACCAATAACCAGGGGGTTAACACAGTGTTCTAGACATGCTGAAAGTGTATGAAATGAACCTAACCAATAACCAGGGGGTGATTACAGTGTTCTAGACATGCTGAAAGTGTATGACATGACCTAACCAATAACCAGGGGGTGAACACAGTGTTCTAGACATGCTGAAAGTGTATGACATGAACCTAACCAATAACTAGGGGATAAACACAGTGTTCTGGACATGGTGAAAGTGTATGACATGAACCTAACCCATAACTAGGGGTTAAACACAGTATTCTGGACATTCTGAAAGTGTATGACATGAACCTAACCAATAACCAGGGGTGAACACAGTGTTCTAGACATGCTGAAAGTGTATGAAATGAACCTAACCAATAACCAGGGGATGATTACAGTGTTCTAGACATGCTGAAAGTGTATGACATGAACCTAACCAATAACCAGGGGTTGAACACAGACTTATTTTCCTGACCAAATGTAACATAAAAATGATATGCTTTGCTTCATGGTATGATAATTTGATAAAACAAATTACTTACTGGAACCAACATCAAGAACACATTAATTTTTGAATATGGTTTAAATACAACTAATGTTCTCCAGCTGAGCCTAGCAATATTCAAGGTAATTTAGACACTGTCCAACATTGCCCTTAAAATCTGGGTTATAACGCTAAAGTGCCCTTTCAAACAACTAGCACCCTTCTGCCCTGAGATTCAAGGTGGAACACTGTCAGTGTTCTAGACATGCTGAAAGTGTATGACATGAACCTAACCAATAACCAGGGCACAGTGTTCTGGACAAGTCACCCCTGTTCAAATGAAGTGGATGTTAGCAATTATAGGCATCCGTATAGCCTTCAACAATGAGAACAACCCACACCATATATAATTGTGGGCTATAAAAGACTCTGATATGAAAAAAAAAGAAACAATTCATTTAAGAAAACTAATGGCTTAATTCATAACAAACAATGACAAAACAATTTACGAAATGCAAATATGACAGACATAAACCAACGACAACCACTGAAAGTTAAATACAGGCTGCTAACATGGGACAGGCACATTAATAATGTGGCAGGATTAAATATGTTTGAAGGTGCCAACCCTCCCCTAACCTGGTACAATGGTAACAGTAAAACATAAGAGCAAACTATGAAAATTAGTTGAAAATGCTTATTTTTTTCCACGGCTTAGCTGTGTGAAAGTCAAAATGAAAATAACATTTTATAATAATATTTCCATCTGGAATACTTATATAATCTGATAGCATCAAGCTCTTAATGAGTCTAAAAAGGTTGTGAATAAATCTAACAGAAACTATCAATGTCTGCTTGTAAGGCTACCTGAACTTTATATGTAGATCTAACAGCTCTAATGTCCATCCCTTCTGTCAAAACTGTTCTTCTGTTGACCTAAAATACAAACAATTAATGAGTTATAATAACAAAAAGTGTTGTGCCTCCAGGCCTACATATATAATTTTGATACTAAAAGAGAGACAACAGATACCAAAAGGACATCAAACTCACAAGTCAAAAGATACCAAAGGGACATCAAAATCACAAGTCAAAAGATATCAAAGGGACATCAAACTCACAAGTCAAAAGATATCAAAGGGACATCAAACTCATAAGTCAAAAGATACCAAAGGGACATCAAACTCATAAGTCAAAAGATACCAAAGGGACATCAAACTCATAAGTCAAAAGATATCAAAGGGACATCAAACTCAAAAGTCAAAAGATACCAAAGGGACATCAAACTCAAAAATAAACTGACAACACCAATGCAAATATTGAAATTAAAATAGTTATACCAATACTTTAACATGTTTATCGTGTAAAATATGTAAACTATTCAAAGTCAAAGAAACAAGTCTGAAGGTAAAGGGCCAAATAACAGGAATAATTTCCCTGGAAATAAGACTGAAGGTACAGGGACAAATAACAGGAATAATTTCCATGGAAATGAGATATGTCAATGCTATAAGTACAACTGCATACCAAATATTATAGACCTATCATAGTTTGTCGACATCGATAATAAAGCTGGATGTATGGTATCTCAACTCATTAACATTTTGTATGCCATGTATGTTATAAGTGTTAGTCCAAATATTAATATAATATTTTATGACGTCTTGAAAGGCTATTTTATTATTTTGGTGTGACGACTTCCTGTTGTAGGAAGGCGTCAAAGCAAAAAATAAAATAGCCTTTCAAGACATCATAATCATTTGGACTAATACAGTGTGTGTTTCAGGTACCATGGATACTGATTATTTTTAATTAATTTTTTAGATTGTCATTGTAAAATGTATGAATAATTGATGACTTGAGTTATAAGATTCAAATAATTGTTCTATTGTTTTTATTTTGCAAAATGAAGTCCTGCTAGTTTCAATTTATAGCTATCATTTATACGGACTTTGTTCTCTTTCAGGTTCATATCATGAATATAGAATGACATGACAAACACCGAAGAAAAAAGAAAAGGAAATGACTATTATCCGGTTGTTTTATTGGAACATTTATCATATACATATACTATACAGTTTAGATGTTTTGCCTTGTACATGATATAACTTTTTCATGTTCCTTCTTATCATATGTTCGAAAAGACAACACAGCCTCAATCACAGCCGCTTACAACAATGAAAACCAAATAATAAACGGAAGGAAGACAATTCGCCCCACAGTCAAATCGCCCCACTTTTTCACCAACTCGCCCAACTTTTCAAAAAATCGCCCAACTTTCCCCAAAAATCGCACCACCCTGGTTTACCAATTCGCCACTTATGAAAAAGGGTAATATCCCGCTGTATAGGTCTTTCAAATCACCCCACAGGGTTAAAATCCGATAATATATAATAAAGGTCTGCTACTTGTGAAAACTTATCTACACAGAATAAAGAAAAATCACTTGTGATACTAAAAAAATCGAATATTTATTATGATTGAAACAACTATACATATCCTTGATTGAAATACAATTATGCTTCATTTCTTAAAATAAAATTGTAGATACGTTATATATCATTATGTAATTTTAGTATTTATTGGAGAATAACATCGACTATCAATCCAGTGTAGATACATCTATTTTTTCCACAGAATGCCTAACTGTCAGATGTTCTGACAGACCGTAAACAACAAATATGACTACCACCGTACTCACGTACACCGTACTGGTAATACTCTTACATGGGTTTCTGATCAGAAACTCTACGACAGAGGATAAACAATGGAAACAATACACCATGATAATCAATAGTCCAATATGTTCACCAAATAAAGATTGCATCACAAATAGAATAACCACCATTCAAGGTGCTATTACTCCTTTTCATACAAAGCACATTAGAGCATCAACACTAGCATATCTTTCCATGATTCTCATCACTATATCTAACGATGTGAATATGAACCCTAGACCATCTCAATCTGAATCAAACTATCCGTGTGGTACCTGTGATAAACCTGTCAACTAGGATGCTAGAGGTATTGTATGTGATACTTGTAATCAATGGTATCATGTCAGTTGCCAGTCAATGTCACCCAGTCTATACCTTGAACATGTCAATGACTCTGCAGTTGCATGGGATTGCATCGCATGTAACTGTTCAAATTATTCAACATTCTGTGACTCCATGGTCTTCAGCACCTCAAACCACTTTAGCATCCTGTCCGAGTCGCCACTTGAAAGCCCAAAACCAACAAACCAGAAGCAACCCATCCATGCATCCACATAAAAAAAAATCATCATACAAGAAGACTAAATCCAAACAACATTTGAAAATTCTAAATGTAAATTTCCAATCAATCAAAACAAAGCAACCTCAACTAGCGAATCTTATTGACAGCACAAACCCAGATATCATCTTTGGTACAGAGACCTGGATTGACCATAGCATCAAAGATTATCAGATCTTTCCAAAAGGGTATAACATATTTAGAACTGACAGAAACCTATCAGGAGGAGGTGTCCTCATAGCAGTAAAGAACATAATTATATATAACTACATCTGTTCCAGAATTGCAAACTGACTGCGAAATTGTATGGTGCAAATTGGAGCTAGTTTGATACAGAGCTATCTACCTATCCTCCTACTACAACCCTAGGACATCAAATGAAGAAAGTATAAATCAGTTTGCTAGAAGTATAGAAAGAGTATCAAGAATAAACAATGCCTTTATATTATCTGCTGGAGATTTCAACCTACCAGGATGGGATTGGAAGAAAAATACTCTAAAACCTAATACCCATTATCCTACCATACATCATAAATTTACAGACATACTAGATTATTATGGTTTCACTCAACTAGTCGAGGAACCAACAAAAGGCAGTTACATCCTAGATCTTATAGTTACAAACCATCCATCCAGTTTCCGTAGAACTGAGATCATACCTGGTATATCAGATCACGACATAGTGTATTCTGAAATCAATATTACACCAACTAGACATCAGCAAAAATCTCGCCAGATACCATTATACATTAAAGCAAAATTGGAGAATGTAAGGAATGACATCAAAAACATCTATCAGTCATT